CGCATCCTAAATTTACTAAAATTAAATGGAGTAAATTTAATATAATAATAAATAAATAAACAAATGTCCGGACAAGTGTTGGCAGACTCCTAAAAATGTTTAAAAAAAAAAGACTTATATTAAAAAAATGTTTAAGTTAAACACTTATCGATTGGATGAGAGAGCCAAAGGAATATATGAGATAAGGTATGTGAGATAAATGCAGGAAATAAAGTGGGGTTGTGAAGGGACATAATTATTAATGTGAGATAAGGATATAATTGATAAATGAGTTGGAGTACTATTTATTTTTTAAATAAATAAAAATATATTTTATTGGTAAAAGAATTAAGGAATATATGAGATAAGGTATGTGAGATAAATGCAGAAAATAAAGTGGGGTTGTAAAGGAACATAATTATTAATGTGAGATAAGGATATAATTGATAAATGAGTTGGAGTACTATTTATTTTTTAAATCAATAAAAATATATTTTATTGGTAAAAGAATTTTTAAAAAGTTAGATAATAGAATGACCATTGACGGAGGGAACTGTAAAAAATGAATTTGAGTTTGAGACTACAAATTCTACACACAAGCATAACCTGGTTCGTGGCCTTGAATTGTGAGAAAAAAAAAAAATCATGGGCATAAATAATTTTAAAAAAATCTGAAAAATTATTAGTATTGAATTTAATTGAGTAGTGCATGACAATAATTCCATCAATTTGTGGTATATATTAATTAGCGACGCCTTTTCAGGCTGAGTCTGTCCCTCTCTGCTTCTTTCTTTTTTCCTTTTGCTTGCACCCCAAACAAGACCAGAACCAAAATTTATTAAGGTACGTATGTGTTTTCTTCTTGCAAATTAAAGCAAGTAGTTGTTCTGTCTGCCTCTAACATCTTTTCAATGGTTCCTGACTTCTGCTGGCCCAATTTTGACTTTTATTATATTTATATTTCGAATATTGGATTTCAGAACAGTGAGAGAGGTCAGCATAGATCTATATATTAAGGTTCTGAAATAAGACTTTGTATGTACAAACCCGTGAGGCTGTGACTATGTTTATTTGTTTTGTAATTGAAAGATCTTCATATTTGTTAATTAGATGAGGGTGAAACCAAAAGGGTACTTTTTGTAAATTAGCCAAACAAAAATGGGAAGTATGCTATGGATTGTGTGTGGTGATGGTAGATTCTGGTACAATGCCATTAATTTATATTATACATGTTATTGCCTATTTTGAGTTAGATGCTGCTCCAGGTTATTGTGATTGTGCTAATGTAATTCATCTGTCGACCTGAATCATGATGTGACAAAAAAATGAATGCTTATGTGTGTGCTAGAGGCTGCTCTACATATAGCCATTTTATGCATGTAAGGCACTATACAAACAAAGGAGAGTTTTTTATCTGTAAAGGGATCACCAATGGTGTATATATATCTCATTGAAGCAATGATAGGTATAGAAAAGTGAAGCATCATGCATGGTCCACCTTATTTGTGCAGTGAACCATGTGCATGCTACCTGAACAAAAACCAATAATGAATATAGGGAAGCCAGAAAAGTTTATGAATTCAATAGCTAAAGACACAACGTCTGAGGCATCAAAAGATGAAGAGTCCTTACACATAAAAGTATGAAAACTGAAACATATGAAAGCTGGATCCGAATTATGATTCAAAAAACGTGGTAAGTATGGAGATAAAGAAGGAAATTCTTTTGGCTAGCTGTTTAGTTATTTAGGATATCAGTGTGTCTGTTTGATGTAAACATGTCTTTGATTTGGGTTTAAACTTTAACTAAACAGTTTGTTTTGCTGTTAATGTTATACCCTAGTTAGCTATTTATATATATTAATTTGACTCCTTTTAATTGTTTCTGAAGAAATGACTGACTTCTTATTGGCTACCAAAGATAAAAGTTTACCTACCTTGTTGTCCCCTTCCTGCCAGAGCCAAACTTAGTTTCTTCCAAAGACATTGTCTAATCTATGTCTCACATCAGTTTAACTCTTAAGAAAAAAACGAAAAAGCCTGTTATTTTCATACTGTCTGTAATTTGTTTCCCTCATTTTTGACATTGTTCAAGCTTGGAAATATCCTGACAGCCAGGCTAATTTTTGAAGACTGTAGAATGTCATTACATGACTATGTACATTCCTATGTATCAGATCAATTTAATAGTTTCATTGACAATATCTACTTATTGGTTCTATGTTCCTATATATAGCATAGGGCTTTAATTATCTTGTGATTTTGGTAAAAGCAGTTTGTTCACTGTTGCTGTCACACACACACGGCTACCAGTCGATCAGCAGACCAAGAAATAAAGTTTTGAGCAGAGAAGTTATAGAGGTTGCCAGACAAGGTATGGAGATTAATAAACACATTAATTCTATATCAATGTATTAAAATAGCTAGCTCATATATAGGAAAACCAAGTTGGTATCCATAGACCAGGAGTAGACTTGAGATAAGTATACAATCTTCACTATTGAAAAAACAAGTTTTATGCAATGATAATGAATACAGAAATTATGTTCATGCTTTAGGCCTTTGCTAGTGTAATATCACAATTTTTATAAGATTAAAAGCGTTATCTTTCTATCCCTGTTTATTTTCAAGCACAAAAATTTGAATCCCTGTCATACAAGCAAGTTCTGGTATTCAGTGCTAATTAAAGAATCCAGAATGAAATTGCATATATTACCATGGTCTGGAGTAGTGACTTTAATTTATTGCAAAACAGTATTCGGCTGTTATCCACACCTGAGATTGTTGTGTCCAAATCTGTCTGAAGGCTTGGTCAAGTCACCAGCTGCAAACTACTGTTAAGTCTCCAACATCTCTGGTAATAAAAGTTTCTCCATGATATATATAGACCGTGAAATAGAAGGTTAATTATATATATGAAGAAACTTATAGAAGTAAAGAAAATTAAATTGTGTGAAATTAATAGTGCATTTCTTAATTTGCACTTCTGCCCCCTAAGTTAGTTGTAGACATATATGGAATAAGATCTAGTGAAAATTAAATTCATTTCAAAAAGGGGGATCAAGAACTAGGGTTCTAGAAATTAGTTTTATTATAATTAATTACTGTCTTAGCAATTTTGGATCAGTACATATTCCATATGGTTTTTTTGGCTGTTTATTACACAGTTTCATTAATTATTACTAGCATCAAATCAAATTGTATTGTTAAATGTGCTCTAGCATCCGTAGAGTGTGACTAACAGAGAACAGTATGTCTATTAGGATGTGCTAGCTAGCTTTCTATGATTTTCACTTGTGAGAAATGATATGTTATTGATTACCACAATTTTATGATGTTACCTAAAAGAAAGTTAGCACAAACTCCACAATTCAACTTCTTACAAACTTGAGCAGAAATACAACAACTCCCATATTCATTAAAAACTAAACAAAGGATTTACCACACTGAGATCTGAAAAGAGATAGCCAAACTACAGTTGATCTTCTTTCTTCACATGCTTAGCAAGATTCCAAAGTCCAAACCACTTCAATAAAAATTGCAATATTTGTTGGCAACAAAATGGTTGCTGCACAACTGATTTTCTTGGAAATGAGAATGCAAGCCACTGTTTTGGGTAGACACCAGAACTGAAGTAGGGTTCCCTTCTCGGACATTTGAAGGGGTCATGAAAAGTGAGTTAGGGTTTAGTTCTCTTGAGGGGATCATGAAGACTGAACTAGGGTTTTGTTCTTGGGTGTTTAGGTTGGCCATGAAAATTGGACTAGGGTTTTGTACTTGGATAACATTACCTGATGATCCAGCTTCCTTCACGTTTGTCATTTCACAATAAGTATATTGCATCTTATGATCAGCGTTCAGTCTCCAGCTTTCACTAAAAACCGAATTATTTTCATCTGAATTTCCTCTGATACTTAAGTTTGCAATGTCATGAGAGTAATTACCCATTGATGATGATCTTGGTGTAATCGTATTAACCCCCAGAAATTTCTCAATGATGCTTACTGCAGAATCCATTTGAAGCTCTGGCATGGGAACCATGGGAAGCCGGTGGTACTGTTCATCTTCTTTCTGAATCACCGCCTTCCAAGAAGAATTTGTTTGGCTAGAACCACCCAAATTTTCACCACTTTCATGTGGACTGGAAGACTGAAAATGTTCCACATCTTTAAGGTTTGATTCATCAGATTTTTTCTTCATTTTCTCTATTGTTCTCTCCCTTGCCCTTGCTCTCGCCTTCTCTCTCGATTCCCTCGGAACAGTAACATTCGTTGATGCTTTACGTGATTTCTTGTCCTTTTTCTCTTTGCCCTTCTGCTCACCGTTGTCTTCAGTCTCCTCTGCTACTGACACCACTTCACTCTCCGAGGTAGACGAGACAGTAGTAGTCTTACCACCGCCGTTACAGCTTTCCTTCACTCCTGGAAAATTTTCAGCAACTTCCTTGATCGCCGCCTTTGATTTGGAAAACAGCCATTCAATAGTTTTGCTCGCTTTATCAAACCCCAACATGTCCTGCAGATCAAAGAACTTCCGTGCGATTTGGAGTGAGAGCCTCATTCTCCGGTCCCTCGGCCCCTGTGATGTATAGATCTTGCTATGCCTGTCCTTCTTCCCCGTCCTCTTCCTCGGAATCGCTACCTTCGTACCACCATCGCCACTGCTTCTCTTCTTCCTACCAGCAACCTTCTTCACTTCCGCAGTAGGCACACTTGGTTCCCCATTACTACTGGACCCCAAGATTGGCTGTTGTGAGAAAAGCTGACTGATGAGCAATCCATCAGCATCACAATCATCAAAAAACGGCACCGGAAAATTAAAGAATGGTGAGGAAGCTTGATCTCCAGGTGTGGAGCTAGGGTTTCCGGTCATCATGGTTTGGTTGGTCATCACGAACGGAAAAGGGTTGTAACTGTTGCTAGAAGAAAACATGGCGATATTTGGTCGTGTTAAGGAGGAAATTTTACCCTAGAGATGAAGGCGATATTAATTCATCAGAGTGAGCTTAATTTTCCTTTTTGAAACAACAGAAAAATGAGTGGATAGAAAAGAAAACAGAGATCTCAGGTCATGGGAAAAGCATAAAAATAAGATGCTGTGAAAGTGATCAGGGCATATGAATTAAGCGGCAGCAGCACCAATTGCGACACTTCACGTGGGGTGCAGGTGATGGCAACCTTTCCTGTTTCTTAATTTCTTTCTTTCTTTCTTTTCTTTTCAGTAAGAGAATTGCAAGAGGTTGAGACCTCATAGACATAGTGCTGTAGACATGACCACCTCTAAATTTTAAAAGACCTAGCTAGATAGGGGTGCGGGTGGGGTGTAAAAAGGAAGATGGAGGACAGTAATTAATTTTTTTCTTTGACCAGAGGTCGCTTTCTTTTTCTTAAAAATTTTTTTTTCCTCCTATTGCCTTGAGATATTTCATTCTTCTTGTAGTGGTAGTTTGGATCGTAGTAATTTCCCAAAATGAGATCTAAAAGGAGTTTTGTTTTGCTTAAAGTGCTTATAACTTCGATGACTGCTATGCATTATATATCTCTGTGGTGCACAGTATTATTAAGCACGTCAAGTCGTTTTTACTTACCTGCAAAAAGATTGTACTAGAGCTATATATATGTATTTGGACGATGATTTAAGTTGCTTTTGAAAGTACGTTTTTGTTTTTGTTTTTGTTTTTGAGTGTGGCGTGAGAAAACAGGGGCACCGTGTTGCTGCCAAGGCTCATCTTACATTTGATTTACATTAGTTGGGTAATTGGTCCATAGCTAACCATTATATGCTGAGTATTATTAGTCCGTTAAGTTTACATGAGAATGTGAAGTTGTGCTACATTAAAGAGAATAAAGCAAATATATACAAAGTACAAACTCATGAATCATTAAATAAGAAAATAATGATTAATATACCTTTTAATTTAGTATATCAATCAACATCTATTGATTTAACAATTAATTTTACAAGTGACAGTATTTTCACTTTGAATTTAAATTTAAAAATAATAATTTTTAATAAATATATTATGAAATATGTTAAATTAAAAAAATATAATAATCATCATCCTAAATAAAATTTTCATCCATAGAATTGTCTTCATCAAAATAAAGCTCTGGAATCAGTATCTTCTTAAATTTTACCGAACTAAAGCTTGTACCAGAGCTTTGGATGGTTTTTCTTTTTGAAGGTACTGAGATTTAATACAAATAAAAATATAACTTTTAAATTTTTTTAATCAAAAATATGATTTTTTTTTAGTAATTAATGCTTTCACTTTTCAAATTTTAAAATTAAAAATATGATCTTTATTCAGCTTTACTAATTAAATCTATCTTTTTTTTAAAGTTTTTTTTATCAACATCTTTCAAAAGTTTTTAATTATAGATATAATTGTACATGTTTAATTAATCATTATTTAGTAAAATTATAAAGGTCTTATATTTGATTAAAAACTTTTAAAAAGTTACAATTTTAATTAGTAAAAAAATACCATATTCTCAATTAAACACTTTTTACAAAATCATATCCCTATTTATATAAAATCTCGGTCCTACATTTTGATTTTGTGTCAGTATATGGTGACATGGTGTCGGTTAATAGAGGGGAACTGTGCTGCAAGTGGTAGCCCATTTTGAACTTGAAGAGGCGTATATACAGTATGATCACTGTTTTTGTAGTTGGTAACTAACCAATTAGAAGATTTGACCAATCAGACTTTAATTCAGTGTTTAATATTTACGAATTAATGGTTTGATAAGTTGCTGTTAGGTTTAAAGTTGTTGAGTGTTTGAATCTCTCTTTCCTTTATTTATTTATTTATTTTTAAAGGTTCAAAAAAGAGGAATTTCCATAGATTAAATAGAGATACAAAAGCAATCCCCAAACAAAGTTGAGTTAATTTAAAATAGTGTCTTCATTAAGGAGATGATTGAGAACATACCTGAAATGGAATTGTCACTAGAATCATCAAAGCTTCTATCATTCACTCATGCCACGGGACAACTTAGAGTCATGTTTGTTCATTATGGGAAAAGTGGCTTGAAGAGAGAAAAAAAAAAAAAATGGTGAAAACTAATTACCTCTAAAGAATATCGGAGGTTTTTCCCTTTTTCAATATAAATGAGTGGCAAATTGGATAATTTGATAATCGTTGCTTCAATCAAGGTTTCAGCGTCAGATTTTTGCATTGGCTTGTATCATGTTCTTTTTCAGTCACCTATCACCATTGGTATACTCACTAGAAGGAGAATGCTCTATTTTCTATATAAGACTGAGTTTTACATTTTTGAGGGTCTATATTAATCACGGTTAGCTAGGTTACTGTCACTCAAATTTGTTTCCAAAAAGCCGAACACATATAGATACAAGGTGCAGCAATGCATAGGATTAAAACTCACAAATGATGCCTTCTCCTCAAATGGATTGTCGACTCCTACAGTAATGATGCAGTATTATTGAGGATAATTGAATAAGACCCAAGAAAAGATTGAAACCACCCAAAATGTTCCGCCTCATTTTTTGACATTTGCAATTATTTTGGGCAATATCTGGTGGAGATATGCAGAAAAGGATTCCTCCTATGCATATATGTCTGCTAAATCAAAAACGAAGCCATACCATCTCATTAGATGAGCCAAAGAATATGTTTGTTAGAGGGAGTACATTGCAGTTAAAAATCATTTTGGACTTTTTTGAAGAGATGTTACAATAGATAAAGAACTTGTGATTTTATTTTATTTTTTCTATTTTGGTTATCCAATGTGAGATAATCATCTCTCATCTCTCATCTCTTATCTCGTATCATTCGTATGTCATGCAATTCGAACTCAAAATCTCTTATTTCTAGCAGAAAAAGGTGATTACTGAATTATTTAAATCGTTGACTGTGATTTTAAATTAGATCTTAAAAAAATCTTGAACTGGATAAAAGGGATTTAGAGATTTAGAAAAGCAAACTAATATCCCTTTTATATATAAATTCTCTATTTTACAATTTCTATTATAAAATAAAATTTATTAAATTAAAGAGGGAGTCTCAATATCAAGAGGTCTGCTCCTACTAAATAATTAAAGTTACACAATTTAAAATAATTTAAACTATACAACACATATATATATATATATATAACTCACTAAAAAAAAAAACACGTAATGGGTGACCATCTCTCCAAATTCTGGACTCCATTTGATCCAGAATCCACGTTATCTCTCCATCAACTTGGGGATCGGGTCTGAGTTGTGGCCCAAAAAAAGGTGGGTTAGTTTTTTTGTCCAATTTTGATCAGTTACCAATGGACCAAAACCAACCCAAATTTGTATTTTGAAAACAGAAAAGAAATGCCAATATATAAGTGCTACATAGATTTACACATTTTATAATTATTGATAAAATAAAAATCTTTTGATATTTATAGTAGTTCCCCTCTATCAATGGCTACAAAATTACAAACTCATTTTGGAAAAAATAAAAATAAAAAAAACCAGTCATATCCAGCTCCTAATTTCATCACTGGACCTCCTAAAAGAGCAACAGGAAGGGAGGAATTCCCACGATGTGTAAGCAATCGAGTATTACAAATTCATCACTTCCCCTTCCTGGGATTACAAGTGCATTGTTTGAACGATTGGACCAGAAATTTCAATGCAAAATGTTAATGGGTACACACAAGTTCCATCTTCACATGAGGCATAAAACCCTAAAGCCTGTCACGTACTGAACAATCTCCACATCAAATAAAAAACTCAGTTGTCTCAATCATTATAGAGTTGATATATATGCCAATATATACATAGCAAATGATCATTTCCGAGAAGTTGCCTTGTTACTGTTTTTTTTTTTTTTCATCATTGTTCGGCGAAGTAATAACATAGTTACATATGCTAAAGACAAGTTACAAAAAGTTCTTTATAATAATTTGTAAATACCTTAATAATTTTTCCTTTTGAACCGATACAAGTTAAATATTAGGATGTCATATATTTCTAGCGCTAATAGAATCTATTAGTAATTAATGAATTGAGACTTTTTAATACGAGAATTGTTTTACATTGTAGTTGTTTGATATATAGTAAATGAATTGAGACTACTAATAAATGAATTGAAATATTTTAATATATTAAGAGAGAATTATTTTATATTACAGTTGTTTGAATTATATAATCTTAATTTTAAAATAAAAATTTTAATTTAACAGATGTATGTTTAAACTCTTTTAACTTTATGTGAAGGTTTTTAGTTAATTACTAATATAACTATACTTTTGTTGATATTTAATTTCCTAATGTTATTTGAAACTTGTGAAAGCTCCTTCGAAGCAAGCAATGAAATAGGTAAACCCCCAGCATTGCATAGGTGAAGTTGTGGATAAGTAGACCAATTGAGCCCAATGTCTTTAACCAGATACTCAGACCAAGTGCTGGGAAAATAAACTTATTGATGAGACAGTATTAGTCAACATATTCATGTCATTGCTCAGTTATACTGTGATGAAAAGATTGAGAATATTACAGAACAAAAACATCTGATCTAAAGTGCCTGGTCTCGTGGCCTAATTGCTTTATATCTTGTAATACGATACATTCCTCAGCCTTAAATTAAAATTAAGATTCGAATCCTTTCATTCTTAACATTCATTCTTAAGTCGGTAAAATGTTCAAAAAAAAAAAAATCTGATCTAAAGATTATTGTCCTTTCCAAAATCAAAGAAATCAAATCTAGGCAAGTTTCATAATCTATGTTCATCCGTCAGATTTTGGGTTTAACAACAAGCATAATCTATACAAAATTATTAATCCAAATGCAGTGATATATTTAGATCAATGATCAAATTCAAACGGATCTGCAACTATTATGATTACAATTAAAAGAGTTAAAGTCACATATTTTTTGTGTTTTATATTTTAAAATATTAATTAATTTATTTTTTTAAACAAATTTACAAAAGACTGGATTGAAACCGTTGCTCTAAGGGTGGGAGAATGCACTTATACGTGACCTGACGTCATTGGACCCGAAGGCTTAAGTGTAATATTAATTTAATTTAATTGTTAAGAATAATTAATAAATAATAAAATTATTGATATATATTATTTAATTAATTCAAATTAATATATAAATTAATAT